CCTTCCTTCCTTCCTTCCTTACCTTCTTACTTACTTACTTACTTACTTACTTACTTACTTACTTACTTACTACTTACTTACTACTACTACTATATATATATATATATATATATATATATATATATATATATATATACTTAGGATAGGTATGTGTCGATTAGTATCGGCGTTTTCGGTGCGTATAACTTTCTGAGATATACGAATCTGCAATCTGTACTTCGCGTTGGTAAAGAAACTAACGTTTAAAAGATAACAAGCAATAATCACAACAACGACAACAACAACAACAGCAGCAGCAGCGACAACAACGACAACAACAACAACAACAACAACAGCAGCACCAACAGCACCACCAACAACAACAACAACAACAACAACAACAACAACAACAACAGCAACAGCAACAACAATAGCGTCAGCATAGTTAACAATGCTGAAGCTATTTTGAATGGCTTTTTCTTCAGCACGTACAAGACAATAGTGACAGATTACACCTCAGACAGTGATTCAGATGTTTCCGATATCTCAGATTCGATCGACGAAATCAAACGACAGTGGGTAACATCTGCATCTTGATCTGCATGGATGTCACGTGTGTTCCGCGTGTGTTTCTCTCGTCGACAAAGCATGACGTCGCATGGCATTAAACAGCCGAGTTTCACTGACACAAAATGCATCGCCACATTTCTAACCAATCAATGCTATCTATTTAAAACATAATCCGTGTAATAACCGTTCATCATTTCATCATTCCGTAGCCAATATGATGAATAGAACGCGATTCCCGATGTGCGTGACTTAGTTATAGGTGTTATGTCATGTTAAACCGAAACGACCCATGTTCCCTGCATGCGACCGTTACGATAATCAAAGAGGTATCACTTTAGATCGATACACTCGTGTAACCTCGAACACTGCAACGCGCTTTTTTAGCAGCATGAAGTTTTACACTAATATAACTACATATTGTTTTCACAGACGCTATAGGCGCCGGTGAGCGTGTTTGCCGGTGTCACTTCCGGCGGCTAAAACACACGACCAGTTAAGAGACAGTTGAGACACTCGTTAACATCCCCCTGCATGCGTGTTTGCTCATGTTTTGCAGTGCCTTTAATACGCTGATAAGTAACGTTGACGCCGTGAGAGAACATCTGTGTGAGCAGCAGTCGAGGAAAGATTCTGGACCTTCGTCGTAAGTTAGGCTTAGCATCGGCGGACTCATGCAGCCGCCATGCTGTCCGACATCGTGTATAGGGGCGTCATATAGGTACTCCTGCCTATAGCGTTCAATATGTATATACACATCACTGCGTACAGCACTGCCTACCTAACAAGATAGAGTACTCCTTAGCTAACTGCACGAGATTGCTAGGTTCACTCGGCTGCCGGTTGAAACCCCATGTTCGCGACCGTGGTTGACTATGTGTGACTAGTCCTGTTTTATTTCTTTTTGTGCGATGGAATTTTGAACATGTTAGGGACGGGGAATGATTAACTGTTGGCATTCTTGACGAAATTTTCTTACACTTTCGAGATTGTGCTCATACTCGGCGTATCCATTGTAATTCCGTATTCTAGCGCCGCGTCGTTACGCCATAGCCTGTTAATAATGCGATTGGTATTTCGTGGTATGGTATATTGTAATTGTCATTCGTGTTTATGATGCGCGTTGGTGCGGCGTACGCGGGCACACGATTGAGTCTCATCTTGCGCAGGTACTATGAGGAATTCGGCCACTTAAAGTTACGGGATCTGACAATTATGGGGACACTAGGCGTCGGTGGGTTTGGACGAGTCGAATTGGTAATTAATCATAATTAAAAAATTAAAAATAAATAAATAAATAAATAAATAATTATTGATATAAAATCATTATAAATAATTTATAACAATATAGTTTATCCTCATCAGTATCGCCATCGGCGATTTTTTTTATTATTCAATTTCTTTTTTTATTTTGGTTCCATAAACAAACAAATTTCAAGAGTCGTCGGGCTGCATTCTGCGCATGCGCATGTTGTAAATTTCTTCTCCTTGTTCAGGTTCAGATCTGCTCCGACGAGACTCGCTCGTTCGCTCTGAAGATCATGAAGAAGAAGCACATCGTAGAGACGCGGCAGCAGTCTCACATCATGTCCGAGAAGCAGATCATGCAATCGTGCCACTGCGACTTCATAGTCGGCCTCTACCGGACGTTCAAGGACAGAAAATACCTCTACATGATGCTAGAATCCTGCCTCGGTGGCGAGCTGTGGACCATCCTTAGAGATAGGTGAGCCTCTTTCTCGCAGCAACCCCCACCGCCTGCGTGACATCAGAGCTGGGCTGATATCACACAAGCATTCGCAGCAAATGAACACTCCACTTGTTATGACCAAACCATAGTTATTATAAAAGTACTAAACGTTAATGAGTGAGCCGAAAGCAATTACGGATATTATACTCTCGAGAGTGTGGGCGCGAGTTTGCGTGCGCAGCTGCTGCTCTGCATTATCTGCTGCGAAATTCTGCGTGTGCAAATGCAAATGCCACAGCCGCATATGAAATATTTAAAAGTGGAAAGCAAATATAGAAGATGTTCAATTATTCTTTAAACGAATAAATGTCTCGAGCGTTCGGCATACCACTTAAAGTCTCATCATAATAATGAATATACACGCACAGACTGAGGTGCACCTGGGGAGTGTGCGTGTGCGTTGCAAGAGTCGACCAACGATGTTGATCACATCAGTGTATAGTGAGACTTTAAATATTGGCAGAGCATCCCCGAAGAGTTTTGCTTATTTTGATATGACTCTAGCTTGTTAACCATTCCCGTTTTTTCTTTAAGTATCACACAAGTGCTTATAATATCGTAGATCAACACCCACATGTAGTTTCATTTATTTGCGCGCTGCGTCAGACGCCCACATACCGGCTTTTCTCTGACAGATCTAATATCCTCGATAGAAAACTAACGCGATTGCTACTCCGTTAATATAACGTACAAACTAGATATCCTTGAAATTGTTGGCTTACTCAAATTATGTTATCGCACTTACGCTTTTGATTATAATAATTATAATTATCTATATACTCCCTCTCTCTTCAATCTCTCTATTTATTTATTTATCTATCTATATATATATATATATATATATAATACGCCTCATCTTACGGCTTATATACGCATATCTGTAGACGGGCGAATGAATTCTGGATGTCGTTATTCTGTACCGTGTTCAGGGGACATTTTGATGACTCATCTACGCGGTTCTACGTGGCGTGCATCGTCAAAGCGTTCCAGTTCCTGCATTCTAAAGGCATCGTGTACCGTGACCTCAAGCCAGAGAACATCCTCCTTGACGCACGCGGCTACGCGAAGCTGGTGGGTATATAGACAGCTTCATTACTGCATCAACAACATGCAGCTACCGTCTTTCATCTGGCGCGCGCGCGCCTCGCTCTGCAAACAGCATGCACTCTATTATTGCTTCATAATTAGAAACGCCGTTTGCTTTCAGTGCGATTTCGGCTTCGCGAAAAAAATCGGCACCGGAAGGAAGACGTGGACCTTCTGCGGGACGCCGGAGTACGTTGCGCCGGAAATCATCCTGAACAAAGGTCACGATATTTCGTCGGACTATTGGTCGCTCGGTATTCTCATCTTTGAGCTGATAACCGGGAGGTAAACTGCAGCTGCTACTCGCACACCTGCGACAGGCATTATTAGTTTTTCACCGAGATCTTCGTAAAATGTTCGCAGTTTACTACACATTCACAGGATTTTGAACATCAGACTTTTGTATGGCCAAATATAGACTCTTATTTTGGTTTATATAAATAAATAAATATATATATCCGGTGTGAAGCAAAGCCTCACGCCAGTAAGGAATAATAGGATTTTGATAGGCGCGCATGTCCACTTAGAAATAACTCGACAAAAGCAGTGAATGGTCTCGACGGAATTCGGGAACGAAAACGCCTACTGAAATCTCCTCAGCTACATCCGCCTCGCACTTGTTAAACACCGGAAATTATATATAACGGGATTCGCTCATCATCGTTAAGCTGTGGCGACGTAATTCGCGAGCCACGGTGTAGCCCGTGAGATTCCAACCGGGATGTGATGAGTAGAGTGCAATTTTAATCACGCTATTAAATATTCGCCATTATGTGCCATTAATATAATAATTTCATACTGCTCCCCTCTCGTCAGCAGAGAGATACACGCGTGCGGTAGCGTTGCCTTGCCCCCCCCTCCGTAACTCACATATGTATGGCATATATATCAGGAGTAGATAATAGGGAACTATTATCCCCTAGTTTCGTTTCCTATTATCTACTCCTGATATATATATGTATATCACTCTGTATGGCATCTACGCGGCTGTGATAATCGTGGGCGTCTCTCTCTCTCTCTCTTCCTTCATCAGTCCGCCGTTTACTGGCAGCGATGCGATGAAGACCTACAATCAAATCCTGAAGGGAATAGACACTATTGAGTTTCCTCGGCGAGTTCTGAAGCCGGCTCAAATACTTATCAAACGGTTGTGCAGGTAAGCGAATCCATCCACCGCTCACATTACGGCTGCATGCGTCGTCATTTCAGTGTTACAGCGAGTTTGCGTGCGTGTGCGTGTGTGCGTGCGCGCGCGCGCGCGCGTGTGTGTGTGTGTGTGTGTGTGCATGTGTGTGTGTGTGTGTGTGTGTGTGTGTGTGCGTGCGTGTATGTGTGTGCACCTGTGTGTGCGTGAAAGAGAGAGTGAGGAAGAAGGGGTTTATTAATTAAACGTCTGATGTTAATACAGGGAGAATCCGTTTGAGCGACACGGTTACCAAGGCAACGGTATGGCGGACGTCATGAAACATAAGTGGTTCGATGGCTTCAACTGGGTGGGGTTGGAGCGATGCACACTAAAAGCTCCCATCGTTCCGAAGGTGAGGATTAATTATCACTACAGGCCGGGTTCGTCGAGCGCGTATCATCGCAAACGTATATTACACCTCTGTGAATATCTGAACGCAGTAGGACGTCGAATGTAGATCCTAGAGTGCGGATCGATGCCGGATTAGGCCAGTATAAACAGAATTGTTGCTAGCGAGAGCGTGTGTGGGTATATATGATGAGACTGTCCGCATACATGCCATCGTCGTATTCATCTCATATATATTTTAGTTGTATAGCCATTCGCACGTAATTGGCAAAACAGTGCGAATCGCAGCGCTCATGTATCGAAAGCACGATGGGAAAACTCACAACGTTTCTCCCGCCATAACATAGCTCACGTGTTTCGCATCGAAGACTGCTGTTTGCTTAGCGTAATGGTTATAGGTGTTCGAGCAGCCGGCGCGCATTCGATTTGCCCCAGCTGTACTAATATTGGTGTTGCCAATGCGGTAATGTTTGCCTCGGCGTTTCTTGCTTGTAGGTGACCGATCCATTCGACATGTCCAACTTTGACGATTTTCCTGAGGACAACGAAACGCCGCCACCAGATGACGTTACCGGGTGGGATCGCGAGTTCTAGCTATTGTCGAATACACACAGTATCCTTCATGCACCAACACAAACACGCACGCACGCGTGTCTATATTGACGCATGCACGCACGCCCAGACGCACTCGCCACATCGCCTACCCACAAACGCGCGCACACGCACACGCCCACGCACGCGCACGCACGCACGCACGCACGCACGCACACACACACACACACACACACACACACACACACACACCAGGGCCTATTGAGTGCGTTTATGCGTTCAGGCGAAGAGTCACCAGTACAGATTAGCTTGATTCACAAACGTGCACTTTTTACCCCAAGAGCCCGGCGTGCGCATGCTAGTGTCACCACCCTACCATTCACAAATAAATCTGTGTGATCGTGAACACCAGAAGAGAGGGTAAAAATCCGAACCAGTAAAATGTTTAATCTAAAGCCATGCATTTAGCTTTTCGAGTAATCCGCGCGACCTGAGCGATTGAGTACTACTAAACGGTGTACATTGCCACTGTCTACTTGTTCTTAGATTATACGCTTAATACAGAGTGTGCAGTACTTTATCCGTACATATTAGCAATTGTATTACGATCGGCATGAAAGACATTCCATTTGCGGCGAGTTTTCTGTAACAACGAATAACTGGTTGGAATTTGGTTCACTTTTTTTCTCTTCTCATTCTTGACGAAGAAAATAGCCAACTAAGTCGCATCATTTCTCTTCTGAAAGTGGAGATTAGTTCATGGTGATTCGCCTAGGCAATCTTACACGAAAGGATATCGAATACAATCATCTAACAAGTGTAATCCGGTGAACCTACGAAGCTCTATACGTGAAATATGACAGAGCAAGTATATCACTGATGTTGGATATGACTTGTTAGGTAACATAAATCGAATTGGCGATAGTCTAGGTCCTACATATCGAAAATTTGGTTACTTGCTGTAAATCATATACGCACGTATATATTAGGGAACAGAAAATGCGCCATCCTACCTCCTTTAAATATACATGCGTGCATCAGCCCATACCGCTATTTTATCGCCCTGTATTATTCTTGTATTTGTCTTTGAGAGGAAAGAATGAATTAGTATTTTAATATATAATGTTGAACTGCTCTAGTTGTTTTGAAGTTTTTAATCGATTTCAGTTGTATATCATTATCGCTACGAGAAAATGCTTACTATTGATTTATTGAATGATGTTCGTTATTCCATCGTCGCGTGTATTGTTGAAAACGTTTCAATGGAAATAAAAAGTATAGTAAAAGCCTATGGTTCTTCTATTAATTTCCAGGGACACATCACGATTACCTTAAATATTTACGATGAGGATGTCTTACGTATTAACGTTGTGTCAATGTTAAAGGGTGGGAGCTATGTGAATAAGCAGGGCAGATATGGGATGATAATGAAAGCATAAAAACATAATATAGTTTGCGAAATTATAAGATAGTTGTTATAATATATGTTACACACACACGCGCGCGCGCACGCACGGACGCACGCACACACACACACAAATATATATATACAAATCACGTTAACTAGTTTTTACGTAATATTTATATACAAATACCATTTAAATACCATCCTGTTAGTCATGCCGTTTAAATGTATCGTACATTGCTGATCGATACGGATACGGTGCCTATTATTGCTCGTGTTTTAACCTATATAATTGCACGCTATGTGGTTAACAAACCCGTTCATTGAAGCTTAACGTGTATAATTGATTATATATTTACTAATTAATAAAACTTCTGCATGATAACTGTAGTGAGAGGCTATTCATAATGTGACATATTGTTGCAAACTATACGCCTACTAATGAACCAATTCAATCAAGAAGCACATAACCTACCAATACTGTTCCAAATTTTCCTGTAAAACATGTTTCGCACAGGTTTACTGAAAACGGTGTACGTTGCGTTCGAGAAATCAACGCATGGGTGTTAGCTGGATTGTTTTTCGCAAGAATGTAAAAAAAACTAGGTTTACTTTATGTTAGTTCGGCCCCTAGGCAACGCGTTCACTTTGAGGCGCGTGCGATTCTGACGTCCAACGAACGCAATTATCTCCTTAATGATCTACCTCAGAAATGCTGAGTCAACAACATCTAACAAATCCCAGCTTCGCTAAACATCGTCACTTTTCGTGTTATCGTGCGCCGTAATACGCGCGTATGCTTACGGCGTTCTGCTGCACTCGATCTCCGCAGCCGGCTGAAAGGGGTGATAGGATATGTTTACTAGGCACTTCTAATTTTAACATATATTTTAAATTTAATTAGGGTCAGGGTTAGGGTTAGGGCACTTTTTAGGGGTTTTGCATCATTCTTTAATATATCGTAAAATATATGTTAAAATTAGAAGTGCCTAGTAAACATATCCTATCACCCCTTTCAGCCGGCTGCTCGATCTCCTGCTCCTCCGCCCTCTACCGCTCGTAGATGCAACCATGCATATGAAAGCTCGCGACGCTTCGATCGATAGATACGAGCGATGCGGATCGTTCTCACGCGCAGATATCGCGGCTGGCGGCAGGCTGTCTCGCCTGCGCGCGCGGGGCATTCCCACGCGGGTGAATAATGGAGCCGTATTGATTTGCGGGTAACACCTGTGCGGTGCTACCAAGACGCGTGCAGTCGCGCGCGGGTTCGGCCACCGCGCTTTTAATGACCGGTTACGACGGGTGTTCCTGATTAGGCAAAATTCCATCGCCGTTGCACCGCGCAACCGACCGACGGCCCGTGCACCTGCCCCGACACCTGTCCCGGCGCATTCACTTCTGGGACATTCCGATCGTCTCCGTAACTGCGGCGGACGGCGAGAAAAAATGCGGCTTTAAGCGACGCCGCCGTGCCTCGCCTCACGCTGCTGCGTCACGGGCGCGTCGTCGGCGTGGCTGCGTCGCGTCGCGTACGCGGTGTATGTCGTCGCGATGACGCTCTGCGACGCACGCCGACGCGGGAAGCCGCGCGAGTGACGGCCGTACGACGCCGCTAGCGTGCCAAAGAGTTAGCAGGTGGTGCGCGGCGCCCGACCTCCGCCGCGGATGAAGTCTGGCACGGATTCCCGCACCTCGTTAGTCCGCCATCAATCTCACGATGATGCGAACAGTGTTTACCGCGTGAGGGGCTGCCTGTTCCCACGAGCCGCGCGCACGGCGCAAGCTGCATTATCATTGGTCAGGCCTTGGTCTATATCGAACTGACCTCACGCGCCATCGGATGTCGTCATCAATCGTGTGTTTGTGACGTCGCCGTTAAAACGTCGCGTGCACATATGTCACGCCGTGTATGACAAACGCTGCGTTTATATATCACGTCGTGTAGTAAGAACGCAGAATACACACGTCGCGTCGAATTTAAAAATCTCGATTTCGACTCATTTTCTTCAAGCATATCAGTCTGTGCAACAGCCTACATTGGTCACGCCTTCTCCCGCTCTGCTATTTCGAGGTGATTATAGAACTGAAATAATCATATACGAAAGTTGCTGTTTCACCGCGGAAAACAGCTCACGTGCGAATTGCGATCTTGACATTTTTTTTCAACGTCAAATGAAGCGCGAAACATTGATTTAAATGAAGAGTGTCTAGCATAGGCCTGTGACTGAACTACAGGTTTCATATAGTCAGTATGTATATAGACTTGGCTTATATGAGGTCTTTGACTTCCCGCGTCCTCAATACATCGAGGTATAGCGTTAAATCAATCTCGTGGCAAAAGCTGGATTAGTGGAGAAAAACATTGGGACACATTTCAATAAAAGCTGGATTTATGTTTCTCTTTTTATTATATATTTAAGGGGCGCTAATAAAAGAGGAAATTCCATCACAGCACGCACGTAAACCATTTGATGTGCTTACGCGGCAGCACTAGTCGATAATGTGCCTACAAAACTCTCTCATAAAAGTACAACTAATTCTAAATACGATTATTCTCGTGTTATCATTTAAATATGTTCCTCTTCATGTGGAGCAGGTCGTCATTAGTGTTTATTAGTTATCTATTGATCAAATTTGAGAATTCTGATAGTTTTTACTTGATCACGCTTATATCACCAGTTCTGATGATTTCATGATTCATGATTTCAACATGCTCGAACTGTAACCATCTCTAAGCAGACGAATATTCATCGCGTGAAATCTAAAGACACGAGAAATGTCATTTAAAGTGCGAGAATTCTTGTTGATATTAATTCAATACACTTCAAGCATGAGATTTATTGCAGATTACAAGATCGAGCGTTTAGCGATGAACTAGTTCTCATCGCCTCGAGCGCTGAGAAAATAGCGGTGTGGCACGCAAGCTCAAATACACGTGTCTTATCGGCAAAGCCGCTATCTTGCGTGTTTTATTAGATCGCAATGACTGCGTAAGGCACTCTATTGTGCTGAGAAACCTGTAAATGAGTAAATCTAGTAAATACTGGCTCCTGGATGACCATCCATCGTTACAACACTCACGTCTCTGTTTTCTCTGTATATGCTTTTATTACTAAGCCATTCTTTCATTTTCACTGACTGCCTGTCCGTTCGTCCATCTGTCCGTCTGTCCATCCTCCCGTCCGCGCATCTGTTTGTCTGTCTGCATATCTATCTATCTATCTATCTATCTATCTATCTATCTATCTATCTATCTATCTATCTATCTATCTATCTATCTATCTATCTATCTATCTATCTATCTATCTATCTATCTATCTATCTATCTATCTATCTATCTATCTATCTATCTATCATCTATCTATCTATCTA